ATTCACCGTTGAGGTATCTGGATACGCGTAATAAAATAAAAAGTTCTACGCTGCTTTATAAAAAATTGAATTTTCTGTGCGTCTTGCCAGGAACGCCAAACACGTTCCGATTCCTTCCATTCTCTCTTACGTTCTTCCCTTTCTTTTATCTTTCCTTCCGACTCTACGCTCGCGTACATCGCGTACTATCGATTCTTTCTCTCGACGTTTCGTTAGCTCGTAAAGACGAGAGAACGTAAAATTTGTTTAGCCTGATTTAAAGTGTCGCTTAACCCGCCCCTTATCCTTTCTAAACGGCCGTACGAAGATTTGTTGCTTAGCAGCCACTCTGTTAACTGCGAGCTCCTGCGACAACGACGGAGTCGCATAAGCAATAACGGGAACATGGGTATCGCGCAGTCAATTTGGCCTGTGTACTACGTTTAAGAAAGACTTTTATGCTGCCTGAAACGATATCGGGAAATTTATTCGCACCGAGAATTGCTTGCATCGTGCGTCGATCGATATGCACGCGCGTGCACGCGTCTCTGCCTCCTATTCGTCGCTCTTTTGCCTTCCAATTTTACGTCAGATCCCGCCGACCGCTCGTTAGATCATCGAACGACGACGATTACGCGTACAAATTTTATTTTCAATGCTTGCGATTTAGCAGCTTTCTTTCTGTATCGACGAGTGATTTTCCATCGAATTGATTTTCTATAACATATAACGTAACATATACGTATACGTATATTTTTGCAACCTAGCCGGCCACATTAATCAAATTTAACTATCGATCGACAACAATGACGAGCTAATCGGCAACGCGATATCGAACAACCGGTTTAAACTTCAACGTGCAAGCTTTAAAAGACGATGCAGACGTTTTGTACTTTGTACGAGGCAAGCCTCGACTTTTTATGCTTATCAGGTTCTACTAGACGACCAGCGTAGTCGTGAAGGAGGACGATGAAGCTAATCCCTCGGGCTCTTGTCGAACTCTCAGACGTCGGGCAATCAAGTGCGTGCAAACTTCCGGCTAATCTCGGTTAGGTACTTACTTATCTACTTTAAACGCGTCCTGCGAACACACGAGAACGAGCCCTCTCTGCAATCCCGCGCGTGTCACCGTATAATTAAATATTTGTAAACAGAAGAAAGGGATTCCTCGACACGAGTTGGCCCAAGTTGCCGGTTAATTAGGGAGACAATGAACTTAATCGCATTGCGCGAGGTTCGTCGCAACCTGTGTTCGACCAGGGTGCAAAGACTGAAGGGGCGACGGCAGATAGAGAGAGGGAGAGAGAGAGAGAGAGAGAGATTCCTCGCTTTGGCATTTCCAAGTCGTGACACCCTAATCCTTCGAGAAAAGTGCAGCGTGTTTTTGACAACGTCTATTGGAAACTTCGAATATTGCCGGATTTCGTCGTTTCGTTTATATCGGAACCGTTGATTAACAAAACTAGAAAAGATATAATTTTTGAAATTTTATTTCAGAGATAACTTCAAGAAATACTCGTTCGAACAAAATATATTTCACTAAAATAAAATGTCTTGAACAAACGATGCGCTAGTCCGATCTGTAGCGATACTTTTATTAGCAATGACCATGCGCGGATGAAGTCAAACAACCGGGTGGAAAATTCTACCAACTTCGTAACCCTTTTCCCATCTCCTACTATCGAAAACGCGATAAAAGAGGCGCGAGCCGAAGGGGGTGTGATCGCAGCTAGAGACCGAACGATACGACCGGATTCAATGTGTTCGTTAATCCGTTCCGCTTAATGCAACGACGAGGGAATGCAGGATCCTGGTACACCGAACCAGAAGGGGGTTGAAGCCTCGCTTTCCCGTCGACACTGACCGCTGGGGGTAATTACCGTGCCCGATGAAAAGCTCTCACGCTCAAACCCTTTCGAACGACCGGAACGCGATCGCCGGACGTCCATCTCCACCCTTAAGGTAACCCGTGTGTACGAAGCCGAGTGTTCAGCGTCAATAACCGGTCATTTTTCTACAACGATCTCGACGCGTAGCTTCCAACTTCGTTTCCTTCCCTCTTCGTTCGGTCCAGCGGTGTTTCGTTGCAAGACGCATAAGAGTAAACTGGGTTCCTTTAATAACGATCCATAATACTGGTCTCGTTCGAATCATGGAACGAGGTCAAGCGAGGCAACCGCTACGAAATAATATACGGATGCATCAATTTTTTCGATAAACCGTTCTTTCCGTTTCCAGTCTTTCCGACAAGTATCCTTATCCTACTTTGTTTTTCCTACACGCCAATTAATATTGCCCGGTTTATTGGAACAAAGTACTATTCGTTTACACGCTAAGGAATGCAACGATCGTTCGATATAGTTAATATATTTATCGATAGCGTTGTTGGATCATAGCTGTGTTGCAAACCCATTTCGTTCGTTAGCGCTTCCACCTTTTTCGAAATAGACCGATAAAAATTCTACGTAAGGATAAAAAAGACACCGCTGGAAACAGCTGTGACGTAGAGTGTAAAGATCTAAGACAGGGTCTAATTAGAGCGTGGAAGCCAGTGACGATGTTTAAAATTCATGCGCCCATTGACCCTAGAGTAGGTTCAAAGAGCGGAACCTACGTAGTACAGTGATTACTTGTGTCAAGAGCTGTCACGAAGACAATGTATAAGGCAGGCATACGCAATAACTAGAGGCGCATGGCTCGGCATAATCAAACCTAATCACGTCCACGCCTTACTAATTTTAATAAGTTTCATCATAATTTGCTTTCGACTATTCATCTCCTTGCTCGAATAACCGAAACGTAATCGATCCCTCTGTAGCGATCCTGCTATAACAAGTGCACGCTACGTTAACCGTTACTCGCATATGCGAAATTTCGAGTAATTTAATAACGAAAATATCTACCAAGTTAAATATTCTTCGTATAAATTTCAAGAAGTTGCGAAAAAATATTTAACACGGTACACGCAGCTTCTAATTGCCAAACATCCAGAATCTAGAATCTAGAAGCTATTGTTAATGGCATTTAGTACTAACAGCAATCGCTACTAATGTTGTAATCTTATTCTATAGCGAATCGGTAACGTTGGAAGCGATAATCCAACGGTAAGAAAGTTCGCTCTCCTAAGATACGTATTAGCATTAACATTATATTAATTTCAATTTTAGCCACTAGTAATGCTAAGATCTTATTCGATGCTAAATCGGTAATATCGCGAATGGCATGAAAATGATAAACGGACTAGTCCGGAAACAACAGACAACGATAAGAATTTCATCTTATATCTCGTTTGATGTTATGTCGATAAATCTTGTTTCTCTTTCTGTCAGCGATACGTTTTCTTGTTACCCTAATAAATATCTCAGAAAATTATAACAACGCGATAAAAACTATGCAAATCGGAAATGAAACACGTTACTAAGAGTACGTCTAAGAAATTAATATAAAGAACATGTTCTACGTACGCTATATTCTCTAGGAAATTTCTAATCAATTGTGAAAATTGAATTAAAAAACAATAAATAAAATACAACTGCGTAGAGTTCACATTTTTTTAAATTATTAATGATTAAAAATTTGTTGTAACATTATTGCAATATTATCGTACGAACTTATTAAACCGTTAAACATTTAACTTTTTAGACGAATCTTCGAACAATAATAAATTGCTGTTTGTATTCGTATAAATAAATAAATAATACTTGGTGTAATTAAATTATGCACATGTAAAAATACATAAAACAATTTATACAATATTTTCATAGTAAACACAAATACATACGGGCCATAGTGATGATATCGACCGTATCAATCTTGTCACTTACTAGCGTTTATTTATTACGATTTCAAATCTTGTTCGTATTTGTCATGGTGAAAACTGTTTCGTGTCCACTTTTTTTTATTATGATTACCTTTAGCTGGAAATATATAAAGATTACATATTAGATGATAACGTAATTGTTCGTAAAGAGAAAGAAAGTCGAAGACGTTTCTTATTTCGTGTCGAGTTACTCGATCCACTTAAAACCTACTTACTTCCGTGCATTGGACATAGGGCTGAGAAGAATGAAAAAATATAGACGTGAAATCTGCGTTCGTCGCACAATTTTATTGCCGGAGCGAACTCGTCTTTATCCACTCGAGCGTACATGATTGATGTTTTCGTTTTATTTATTTATTTACTCTTTTTTTTTTTTTGTTCGTTATTACAGGTGTCCTCGATAGACTACCGACAATGTACACAAACTGTATCGAGTTCTTCCTCCGTTTGTCTCTTGTTTCCTTCAACGCAATAAATAAACGAATTCGCGCGCGTGCGTTACCGTTTACGTAACGACAATATAAAATCGTCCTGCATTAGTAAATAAATTAAGTAAACGAGCGGTATAGAAGTATAATCGGGATTCAGGGTGTATTTCGTATTTGATATAACAATAATACACTACCGGTTGCATTTTCGTGTTCTTTACGTGTACATGTGTACGTGTATGCGTGCATGTATGTCTCTCGTGTGGATTCTTTGCGTGAGCGCGCGCGCTCGCGTGGGTGTCGATGGGCATTGTTCAGTCGCTAGTTCCTATGCCACATTGCACATACAGCTAACGTACAAATATAACGACGCGACGATTCGTACGACACTACTTCCTATAGTCTCTATACAGCGCGACGCTACCCGCCGTTCAAGGGAAGTTTTTTCTTTGGGGCTGTTTCGAGTCTTAGAGATAGTACTGGTTTCGAGTTCCGGGTTCCGGGTTCCGAGTCCCGAGTTCCGGGTTCCGAGACCCGGGTTCCGGGTTCCGAGTCCCGGGTTCCGAGTCCCGGCTATCGGGTTCCGGTTTTCGGGTTCCGAGTTGTCGGCTACATTGGAAGAATCGCCTCCCAATTACCCGGTCGATTCACTCGTTGAACGTTCTTCTAGGTGTCTCGTCTCTCTGCGTTGATTATCGGTATAAAAAAAGTTGCTGCTGCTGGGGGGCAGTGGGACTGGAGTATGATGACGGCGTGTACGTTTTAGCAATGGGCTAGTTGCCGTTCGTCGAACGCTGCATTGCCGGAATCACCGCGTCTCGTTCAGTCCCGTAAATCTTACCAGCTTTCTTTGCCATGCTACCCAGCATCTCCATCGAGCATTTGTGCGCGGATCTCAGTGACAATGCCCATTCTTTCAAACTGATTTCATCCTGAAAATGAAATTTCTTAGTTACAGCGATACAACTATCGTTTTTATACATCGTCGGCTAATATAATGGTACTCTAGTAATAATCATTTTTTAGATACGCCATAAAAATATACTTACGGGATTCGTAAGTACTATTTTTGCGTCTCTCATACGGACGACGATACATTGTTCTCCTTTCACGTGCTGAAGATCCGCACTAACTTCCTCCACCTAACAGTTTATTCAAGATCGTATTAACAGATTGCAGCTTTTACAAATACTATCTAATAAAAAGAAAAAAGAAAAAAGAAGAAGTGGGATAGTTACTATTCTCAATTTTCTAAGATTTAAATCGTCGGTGATATCACACGACGATGATATGCCTGTTAGTGCACTACGCGAAAGTAAACGCTATATATAATGCACGTATATTTCAGATTTTATTAGCAAAATATTAGGACATTTAAAAGTCATAGGGATATTAATGAGTAAATTGCAAAAGTGTAGTTGAATAAAGAGAAGGATATTAGAGAGGATCGTAACAAGATTATATTTACATTTCAAATCCTTTTGCCTCTGACGAAAAAACTAACTTTCCGATACTACGGTATTTATATAAATAACGTTTTTAAAGGCTATATTTTCGAATCGTACGATAATTTCAGTTAACGAATCTAGTTTACGTGCAATCGTACTCCTAGCCTCGCCTCGCTTATTTCAATCTTATGTCACTCGTTTGATCACGAGATTTAATTAGCATGTTCATCAAGCATCGCTATTAAATTTATTCATCCGTTTACCTGATCAAGAAAAACCAGTTCAGGCTTCGTCGTCGACTCAGGGTACAATTCTAATCTATTAGGATAAAGTTTTGCATAACGTGTTTGCCACGCACTCGCGAAAGGGCCGCCTAATTTCTTAATATAACCATGTAAAATGCAATCAGATCCTGTAACAAATACCTTTCGATATGACGATTATCCTTATTTGAAAGATTATCGAACGAATAAACTACCGATGGTTGTACCTTTCTCATCCGTGTCGAACCGTTGCTTCTGCTTAGCTTTCTTCTTATTTTCCAACTACGAGAAACGAAAAGATGGTTTAGAAAAAGAAAGGCGAGGAGAAAAACTGAAGGATAAAAGGAAATTGCCGAACGAGCGAACGATTCGTACCTTGTCCGCTTCGTTATTGATTGTCTCGAATACAGTCTCGGCTACTTCAGCCTGCCATCTCTCTGAGATGGTTAGAGGGAAATTTTTGTACAGCTCTTGATCCGCGTCCGTAAGTTTGATACCCTTGGTGTCCTCCTCGTCAAAGGAGCCGATATCAAAGGCGTCTGCGGCGTTTACCTCGCCGCGCGGTGGTATAAGTGGCGGCGTGTATTTCTGGAGATAAACTTGTTGCCAATCGATACCACTGAAAAACGCGTGTTCTTTTAACTCGTCCGCACCTTCGCCAAGGCAGCCGAGTCTGTTATTTACGTCTCGTTGTAGCAGACCTTCCAGCAACGAGCGCAAATCTCGCGAGAACGTTTCCGGCAGCTCGACGTTCTAAAATAATTTTTATCAGTTCTTTAACCTTCTCGTTAGAATGACGGAATACGAACCGCGATGTAGCGATCAGAAATCGATCAGCGATCAAAGTATGGATAGTCAGGTAAACGTAGGACGAAAGTAACAAACCTTGGTTAGTGTCATTTGATCTATCTCGTGTTTGTCTTTCATTTTATGTTGCCTGAATGGACTGTGTCCCTTTAACAATTTATGCAACACACAGCCAAGCGAAAACCAATCGGCACTGGAATCGTAGGTTACCCCCTTCGAGAGGACTTCCGGCGCCATATATCCGTGTGTTCCTCTGCAAACGGAATATTTCTCATTATACGTGACGAGAATATTAGTCGTCTGAGATTGTAACGCAAATGTGCACAGTTACTTACACACTGGCGTGCGGTTTCTTTTTGGAAAAATCGCAAGCTAGCCCCAGATCCGATATTCTGACGTGACCGTGTTCGTCCAAGAGAATGTTCGCCGGCTTCAAGTCCCTGTAAACGATGTACCTACGATGCATGTGCTCTAATCCCAATATCACTTCCGCCGCGTAGAACTTCATCTCCCGTTCGTTAAACACCCCATGTTGGCTAAGGTGATAATGAAGATCGCCGCCGTTCATCAAATCCAGGATGAAACAGAGCTTGTCCGGCGTTTGGAAGGCGTATGTCATGCACACTATAAATGGACAATCCACCTGAAAAGTAATCGTTATCGTTTAGAGTATCTAGACTGTAGGCGAGTAATTCATTTTATACGTCGTTTTCAGAAACGATTTAAAGATTTATGGATAAAATATGAGATATTGCTTTCAACGATAATTGACGATTTTCTCTATCCGAGTGTTTCTTGCTTTTTCTTTTTTTTTTTCTTCTCTTTTTCGTCTTCTAAAAATTGCGCTTTTCTCTTTCGCGAATTATATTCATACTGTTCGTATGTAGCTGATTTGTTAAAGCGCATGGTTCGTTTGTATATTGTCTCTATGTATCATCGATTTAAGAAAAAAAAAGCGATAGAAGGAAAGTCTTTCAGTATCGATCTCTGAAATTAGAACTATCGTTAATTTTACGACTCGTTTCACGCCTATGACGGATGCGATAAACGACGAGAGTTTGACACCTCTAGTGTGCTCTTGCGAATCTCCATTACGTGTCCTTTTTAACACGCTGGATGATTAAGAATTTGACAAGATGGAGCCAAGGGTTACTATACTACATCCTACGGTTTACGGTCTACCATATTTTTAGGATATCACATCCTTGAGTAAAGCTTACTCCGGTACTGACTGCCGAAAGCATTATCCTTTCGTTGAGCGCTAAAGTTTCGCCTTGCTTCATTTTTATTCGCTTCTTGTCGAGGCACTTCATCGCGTACATTTTCCCTGTGTCCGCCTTCCGGCACCCGTAAACCTCCCCGAAACCGCCTCTTCCTATTATTCGATGCACACTGAAGTCGTTCATTGTTAACTGAAACGATAGTTTGTTCAACGGTATGAATATAAATTATCATTCTACGATTAACCGCTATTTATTGCAATTTTAATTCCGTTGTAATTACAGCACGATCACGAGCTTTCTCGCTTACCTGCATGTTCAGTTCTAGATTTTTCCACTGACAGAAACGAGTATACTTCTCGCTGAAAATACGAAACAGAACTTCTTAAAAATTTTCCAACGACTTGTTTCTCTTTTGCTAGCTGGCCGACATACCTCTCTAGAAACTGTTTGAACGGCTCTCCCCTTAAGTGATTAAAAATCTCTTCTATGTACGGCTGGAAGGATTCAATTTCTAATTTGAATAAGATTTCGATAATACACGTTCTTAAATGCGTTGGCGGCTCACACGCGAAATGTCCGTTTTTTTCGGTCAAAATAAACATGCTGTTGCCGCCTATCGTAAGAATAAGATTACTCCTCTCTTTTTATAAAGAGATACGCACAGTATCCCTGATGCTGTTAGCGAAAAATACGTTATGTGTGTGTAACATAAATAAACTAACATCTGTGTGAAATAATTACAGGAAAATCGAGTGGCAAACGTACTACCCCACTACACTAGTGTTCTAAGATTAATTCTATTTTTATTTAGTTATCGTTATCAAATCGTGCTGCATTGTTACACCATTGTATTGGTAGCGAATAATTATTTTCTCGTGAAATAGAAACCTCTAATTACAATCTCACATATTTACAATCGCAAGGCAATAAAACGTTAAAAGGGACCAACCTCGAATAAATTAACAGGAACCTCGTTTTTCATAAGGTATTTGTGAACGTGGGACACCGCTTCCGCGGAGTATTCCTGAAACCAAAATTACCGTACTATTAAAATGATAAACTGATTTTCTCTTTTATCTATAGTGCCCTTAAAAAGGATAGCCTGCTTACAGGCGAACTACTACGAACGTAGAAATATTTTTGTCGATTCTTTCGTAAGCGTTTTATTATATCGCGCCTTTGCTTTTACGTACACAAGGAGACTACTATCCATTTCATCGGGAATACTTCGTACAACGAAACAATATATACGAGTTTGAAGTAGAATTTTGCTTTCGTTTGATGCTAACAAGTAAAATTAAGAAAACGAAGCTACTTAAATCGATGTTTCTATGTCGGCAATAACAATTTTCCGCCGCATTAATTACTGACAGACGAGGGATTCTGAGAAGTCGGTATACGTACTAGACATACCACCTCGCATGCTATATTACAGCCTATGTATAGATATCAAACATCTTACACGACCAATTTGATAGTCATATATAGAGGAAATTCTTGGAAGTATGTCAATAACGATAACTTTTGTTCGCACGTATATTCGCAGGTTTTTCACGTAGTTTATTCATCGATACGTCGAATAATTTCCTTCGAATGTTCCAACTCGAAGACATTTCAAGATTTACATAGAAATTTTCATTCGTAAAATGCGATATCCTCTTACATAGACTTCTAATCGTTAGAATATGAAATTTAGTAAAATAAGTTATAACGCGTAGATTTTTACAAGATTTCTTCAAATCCGTCTATATACTTTCAAGACAGTACCACGATTTCCTTTACTTAATACGCAGCACGATGGTAAATTCTAAACGACGTTTCAAACATTGCGCGCTGAAACCTCTTCCATTCTATTAGTTGTTCTCATAGAAACATATCCGGTCATAACTTATAAGTTATAATTTATAAACGCGGATCGTATAACTAAAGTTTCTATAACGACACTACACTGATTCTTCCTAGTTGGCCTATCGCGCCTTATTAAAATGTGGACAATAGGAATGGAACTCGTATCTAAGCGGATTCAATCGGTGCGAATTCGGTTTCAATAAATGCAGTTGTATCGCGTATTTTATTCGTCCCAATGACACGTAACGATACTTCGGACGATGGAAAAACTAGCGTTTTGCATTTTACGTGATCGCTGCGCTTTTAACAACGAACGACTAAACGCTACGCTTGAAAATAACTGTGTAGAAGCGATCGAAGACGATTATTTCGTTCGCTTTAGCATGGACAGAAACTTGTGCCAGCGAAGAAGATTCCGTAACGTGTCGAAGGGGAAAATTGTGAGCACATAGCGATCAAAGTCGAGGCTAAAATTAGGGGCAAACTAACCGGGGGAAAAGTCGCGTGAAAAAGCCACGGAAATAGTTGCTCTTGCGAAGACATCGAGGGCCAGAGATTAGGAGCCCTCGTCCGCCGCGAAGAGACCTATTTCGGATACTTCCGGATTCAAACATTCATGCAGAGCCTGAAGAATCAGAGGAGCGGTTCAATCTTTTACGCGACTCTCTTTTTCATCGTTTAGAGAAAGCGATTTTCGGCCGCTTTCTCGCCAGTTCACGGATAAAAAGCCTATATTTCTCGTGTTTACCTTTCTCTTCTTTTTTTCTTTTTCAATCAACATCTCAAACGCACGCGTTCGAGGTAATCGCGGGCGTTTCAAGGAGATATACCGCTTAGGAAAGCGAAAGAAAATCGATCTTTAAGCTTGCGGATAAGTTAAGGAACGTTTAAGATCTTTAAATCGGCATTCAAAAGTACTTTGCAGAATTGCGAAAACAAACTGGATTACGTCGTTTGTCGATGTACCAAGACCGTATTTATGAGTTTTCTGGGTTACGTTTTTAAGAATCGAAGCGAACGCCGTCAAAGCAGTTCCTCTGGGAACCGATGCACCGGTGGAAACGTTTTCCCGACTCCTCCGAGCAACGCTGAAAATGTTCATTCACAGATGAAATCAATTTCAATATGAATACCTACGAACCCAAATCTTTTAATTTGCCCCATTTTTCTTTAAGCCTACACTCATAGCGTAATCTCCATAGACACAGAAGATGAAAACGAATAAATAGAAATAGAGAGAGAGAGAGATAGGCTCTAACGCAAATTGTAGCCTTATTCGAAGACTCGCGATTTCAATATACATCAACGTCTGTTCGATTTAAAAGTTTCGAGCTTTCAATCTTCGGATCTCGGGTGCTGGAACTTGCAGCTCGCCAACATAAAAGAATATAATCATCGGGATGGTGGATAAACGTGCAACGTGGTAAACTTTCGGACACAATAGCGAACACAATGGAGTCGGAGGAGGAAGCTTTTACAATATCGGCAAATTTTTTCGCCCGGCACTGTCCTTACGTCCTTGCGCGAGCAACGACAACTTTTATCAGGCAAAATGGAGACGATGTGTGGGACGAAATTGGAAAAGTTTGTCTAGATCTAGAGTCGAGACGATCGTACTTGCCAGATAAAAGAAATTAACAGATATACGACTGTGTAAATATGTGAAACCGTAGCAGCTAGGTGTGAATCTAATCTATTTTCAGGAAATTTCAAAGAAAGACCTATCCTCGTGGATCGGGGTTCGAACTGGAAATAAAATTATTCTCGGATATTAACGTACGATCTCGAGCAGGCTACAAGCGCGTTACGTTCGTGGACGATTTCGTTTACGCCGTTGCTATATCGTCACTCCTGGCTAACGTAAAAGCTACATTCGATGAACGAGATGTTACTCACATGGGAGTGTGCCAGCAGCTCCTTCATGATGAAATTATCGTAGATCTCTTTGGCAAGTATCCTCCTTTCTTCCGGGCATTCCAGCTTCTCGTACACCTTGATCTACAATGCATAAATGAGAAATTCCTTATGGAGTCGGAGATGACGATGCGTGCCACCACGCTACTGCAACTTAAATAGTTTTGTGTGCGAGCTAAAACGAACCTCTTCGTAAAAGCTAAGTTGCGGAATCGGCTCCTCCGCCACATTCTCGCAGTAGTCTTTGAATAAGAGGTAACCTGCAATCACAAGGTAACGGGGGAAAAAACAATGCATGCTTCGATCGATCGATTCTTCGCGTCTTTCCAAAAAATTCACTTTCCATCGGTCCAATTAATTTTACCTGTCGGCTGTATCTACGAAAGTACGTTTTACGTGTTAATACTCTTTACGTTCAAGCAAGATTTCTACGAAAGCGCGAACAACGAAGCGCGATTGAAAGATCGCAAAATAAAATTACCTATCAGGCAAATTAATTAGCAGTGATAATATCGACGATCGGTCGGCCGATTGATTTCTTAGCTTATCGAGCTGTACTACTCTTTGCCAAGTACGAAGCAGTTGTTCGAGGCGTCGAGTTCGATAAAAAGATTAATTTCATCAACGGTACAGCTCAGCGACAACGACCAAGCTAAACTAAGCTAGAACTAGGTGCAAAATACGTAATTTAAGTCAAATCTAAACTACCTTTAGCATCTACGTTTGTCAAGTATAATTATACGTCGGCCATATGTCAATTATAGTCAAGTATAAATAACGATTGGAAATTATTCGAAACGAACGGTCTCAGGGATCGATTGCGCGATAGAGCGGATTTCGTGTATACAGAGACTTGACGTTAAGCAACGGATGTATTTCGTTAAGGGCTCGAAACGGCATTGTCCTGAACGATGCTTAATCGGTATGTATGTAATCGTCGCCCTATTTTGGTATAATTCCCACAGAGATATTTAACATTAACGAACGAGAACACGAAAGTCACGTTATTTTCTCAGTCGCTCTCTTTCAATTTTATTCTATTCTCATTTACAGGCACTCGTTCTATAAACCGACAAGAAAGGATTCTGCAAATTCACGTTTCAATTTGTTCGATATACCGTGCACGTATTTATACGCAATGCTTTAGATTAGGTCATTCGGCAAGACTCTCAGCAAGATAAATAATATACTACACGTAATGCTTATACATAGGTTTAACTCAAACGTATTACGCAGCGTTTTATCGCTACTTGTTTATAATAGTGAAATTTTTACTACGATGTAGCTGTTCTCGAAAGTGATTCGACGAAGTTTTGTACACGTGCACGTCATCTTGGCATTTTTCAATGAAAGAATCGTATTTTTTAGAAACTCTATAAAAATTAAAAAAAAGCCAAAAAAGAAAAACAAAACAGAATATCCGATCGATAATTTAATGAATTTTTTCCCTCAGTCCCCGATTACATCATGCATCGATTTGGCATGTTGCGGTGAATGCAAAAGAAGCTACACGCTCTCTACTTCGCCTTAGCTGCTTTAACTAAAACGTATACATATACATATGTAAATAATTAATTGTTTTTTATTGGCGCATTATTAGCTTTTAAGGATAATCGTTTACATCACTTGGTAGACTTATGACATGCACTTAACTTTGTTTTATTTTTGATGCTGGAAAACACGTAGGGATTAGTTTTACGAATTAACCTACCACTTGTGTGATCGTTTGGGAATTATTTCACACACGTACACACACGCGCGCGCGCACACACGCACACACGCACTTCCTGTTGCGTGCATTGTGTACTTATCTGATTTTCTCGCGGCAAACACAGATTACGGAGAGAGATCATTATCGTTTGCAACATGTAAAAAGTACAGAATTTGTTTAAAAATAATTGGAAATTGGAATTACTTGTTAAAATTGTTGATTTTAGAAATCATTCGTCGGACAAAATTTTAATTGGCTCTCGGTAATCTATACGCGATCATTAACATTAAAACGGATACATAATCGTAAAGACAAAAATAATACTTTAATTAGTCGTGCCTGTAAAATTAGAGTGGTTACGTTAACGCACGTATAAACTATTCGCTTGTTATTCGGTTATTTGCTATCTGTTAGTTATCTAGCTATCTTGTTAGCGACTATATCCTTTAACATATTATTGACCAGCTACCTTACGTAGCGATAAAATAAAAACTAACGCTTTGAAGCACGCCATCGGCTAGTTCCACGTTCGAATAAAACAAATTGGATAAATTTCAATATCTTAATTGAGTCGGAACATGTAATACGAGTAATTTGAAACAGATTATATCCGACACAAGGAACAATATCACAATGTAACGACGATTTACGCAATTTCATATTTTAATAGTTGCCCAAATCGATCGACGAGAGCAAACACGAGTACAGTGGTGACTGGCCAATAAAGCGTTATTTTATTAATTCACCTCGTCGATATATTTCCTCGTAATATTTGAAATATCGATTTACCTCGTAGCGGTATGCCTAAAAATTTACATTTGAAAGACATCGATATCAGACACTATTCGCGTGAGAAACTTTGTTTTCTAATTAGGACAGAAAACTGTGAAGAGGTCTAACACAGTCGTCCACAGGCACTTTAAGAAGAAAAACAAAATGTAATTAAGAAGCAAGACGTCATTCGATCTACATATGTATGCAGTTCTTTTTTTCTTTTCGACGCTTTCGCGACTTCAACATGCATCCAACCTTTAAACGTAATACGTTTGGAACCTTGCAAACCTTCGTACGTGACACGAGTGAAGAAATTACATCGAACGGTTGTTTTTCATCGTTTTGGTATTAAGTAAAGTTAATTCGCGTAAAGAAGCAATTACGTATAAGCTGACAAAGTTCAAACTGTTTTATCCATCCACAGTTTTGATATTTCGTACAATTTAGCTAATAATCTTTGATATTCGTACGTAAAAAATGGGCTACTAAAACTAAATTTTCGGATCGAGACATTCTATATCTTTCTTATTAAGTAGCGCAACTTTATCATAAAAAATAATAACTTATCTTAGAAACTATTCCACTCTCAAAGTAGCATTTTCGTAGGCAAATCGACGATTGCTCCGAAGATTGCCAATTGCCAAAATGTGTCACTTTCGTGTGACAGGAATCCAACGATGCGTAGATACAAAATAAATAAAAGTGGCACGATGGTTCGACCAACGTGATCTTTGCGATCGTTTTAGCAAATTTTTTCATTAAAACTCGCTCGAGCAACCTTTTTATTTCGAATTAAACCGAAAGCTTAACCGTAGGCTTAACGAGATCCTTAACTTTGCTGACGCAAAAAACTATTTTTATTCGTGTGTATTTAACATTATAGGAAAAAGAAAAAGTGTAAATAGAAATACGTAGACGTTTTCTTAAAATATGTATATTGATACAAATTACATTTTTTTTTCTTTTATTAAATGTTATATTTAGGTGAATCTTATTTTAAACCACTGCCAGATCGATAACGTTGCAGCCTTTTGCAATGAAAATCGAAGCGTTTTAAATTGCAACGAAAGGAGGAATCCCGATAAAGACGCTAGACTCCACATTATACAAAACTACCGTTCCCTGATTTTGCCTCATTTACATGCAATGTATCGCTTCTGCTTTAGATGTCTTTTAAGAATTTCAACGAAGGATTATTTATTTAGTCGTTCACTTTGTAAATACGTATTTACGAGCTAACATATATACGTTTACATTCGCCGAATAATCCTTTCGTGTAATACTTTTTTTTTAATACGATTGTAGTTTAAATAACATGGGGAGGTTTAAAAAAATAAAGGTCTAAAAATTTTAATGGCTCGTAATAGTCATTAACGGACGAAGATGCTGCTTAATCAGTGACACAATGTAAAATCAGCTCCTTCCAACGATACGTTGTACGTTAAAAACGAACTATAATTTGCCAAGGAAGTGATTTTTCGAAAGCAACGGTTCTTGTAAAGTAAGAATTCTTATCGTCTCTACGTTTCAACGGAAACTTAATCGATAGCTCGATCACTGGAACTTACTATCTGAATAAATGGAAAGAAATACGTTTTGTCGGTCAATCAGCGTACAGTTCAATGAGCGTTGTAAAATTGATTTTCAATTCTCTTTGCGGGTTGACTATCGTTGCGAGGCTATAATTACGCGTTAAAAGCGGAGATATTTGCAGACCAACTATACTTAGAGGAACGAGAAATGATCTGTACGATGAAAAGAAAAAAAAAAAAAGAAGAAAAAACGAAAAATTCACCGCAAATATTGATTTTCCTCTCTTTTCCCGCCGTTTTGAACGCAAATCCAGTACTCGTCTCGTGTCGTCTCGTGTTGTAAATCGAATATTCCTATTCCTTCCACCGTGAAACCCCGCGTAACTGACATTCCGATCGCACGAACTGGCGATTAATTACGTACAACGTACTTGTATCGGAAAAATTTTATTAAACCGACGAGTGGTAATCTCGAAGCTGCTCTAAATTTTCCAAGGAAATTTCGTAGCGATTCAAACGGATTGTAACGAAAGACGCGTCGTTTGCATGCGGAACGTAAAAATTTGATGGGAAATTTAACGCTCCTAACCTACAGCTCGAACGACTTTTCCTTCTAAGCACGGCGTAGTTAAAGGTTTAATTAGGAGAGTCTGACTGCTCTCTTATCTCGTCGTCTTGTTCTTATATAATCAATGAATCCTTGTTAACTCTGGATCTGATAATTCCAACAAAGGTGCTTTGGTAAAGGAAAGAAACGAAAAGAAAAAAAAAAAAACGAAACGCGAGTCGACCTAGATTAAAGGATTTCGCAAAGTTTTTACTATCTATTCTGTCGTTAATTTGGATCTTCTGTACGAATACATTTTATTGTTTCTATCGGTAGTTACATGACATTCCATTAATTCCAAATACCATGACCGCTCTTGTGACTCGTTGGCTAGAGCCGTTTTGTTTCCTTTTCTTTCTCTCTTTTTCTTTTTCAATGGCTGCGTTAATACATTTTCTGCGTTAATTCGTCGACGATCGTTATTTCGACGTAAATTGACACTAAATGGAACCACACGATTACGTTAACACCACGATAACAACAAAGTATACTCGAAAGTTGCTCACCAAACATTTGATTGAATATCTTATCGAAGTTAACTTCCCTCTTCTTTTCCAGGTATTTGTGCATTACGCTTCTCACACTGCAACAGAAAAAAGTACGCGGTGTAACGATTAAATTCGGACAATTGTTATTTCTTAATTGTATATATTATAAATTAGACTAATTGTATAAATTATAAAGGAAGTATGTATACGGACGACGGTGAAATTCCCTTTGGTTAACATTTTTGATACGAAGTTATCTTGCGCTTATAACCACAGACCGCCTCTTATCCGGCTCCGTTTTAAGGTTGTCGATCGCTTAACGCGTTTCACTCTCTTTCTCGATAAAATCGTGTATTATTAAAACAAGATCGAAAAACGTGAATTGCCAGATATAAGAAATCGCAAACGGTCGAACAAAAGTTCGTTTCGTAACATCAGTCGTGTATTATGTAAAAGCTTTGTACAATTGCAACTGTAACGTATCTACGATTCAACGTAACACGCACGAATCGATGCAAGATTCGACTTCTCTTTCTATTTCTCGACCCTATTTCTCGATCGATCGATCGGTCTCTTTTCTTCTTTCCCCTCTCTTTCATTTCCAAAGATAAATGCTACTTTTTACCATACTAAATTTCTTTGCGACTTTAGCGTCAAGAGCGTGAAACTTCGTTATTAGCTTGTAACGGAACAAATGGGCATTTATTGGATATCTATAACGACTGGATACCATATATATCGTAGGTGTAATAGAGTTTCTCGTTCAGGCGTACTTAACATGTTTAGTCTACGTTTCTATTGGACTGAATGATCGATTACCACCGTGATGAAAGACGATACCTTTGCACTTTACCGAGTATGGATCGTTATTTGATAAAACCGTTTAATCATTACGATTGTTCGCTGTATCGATGTAACTTTCCCGATAAGCACTTGAAAGGGACAAGCGAGTATCTTGAAAAATATACGTTCCTTTCGATAAATCGACCGAGAAGACAAATTACAAAAGGAGAAAGAAATCTTAAAGGAATGGAAATTAATCGGATCGTTCCGACACTAATCGCCGTGAGCAGAAATCGTTTAGCTGTTCCACTGGTATATGTTCACGCGCGGCCAACAATCAAAACAATTCTCTCGGCTAGTCCAAACGTTGCCAAACGAAAACGAAAACCAGTATCGGTTCTACTCGCTGGAACCGCTTCTGACGTTCGCTAAATATTTAAATTTTCCCCTAAATAAGTGCGATTTCGTAAGCACGTGCCGACCCGAAGGTTCCGAATAAAAAAGAAACGCCATAAATTTAGATCGGGACTTGTAAATACTCTGAAACCTGCCGCTCTACTTCTCTGTAGCGATACTTGCCTCCATATTCTACGATTTAGTCTACCTTAATGCGCGAGCTGTATTCAGCCTGCTCGCCGAGTTTACGCCCAATAATTTTTCCAACTCTTCGTTCCCTGTAAAATATACAGGATTTAATCCTGCTGCATTTTTTTCCTTTTTCTTTCTTTTCTTCTTCTTTTTGTAGGGGG